GCGAGTGGCTCCAGCAGATCCCGGGAATAACATCGGAGATCTCTGTCCAGAAGAGCGCAGTCCTGGGAACAGCTAAGATACTGCGCAGAACCCTCAAGCTCCCAGGCCTCTGGTAGAGGACCCGAGCTTGAAGGATAAACCGCCCGCAGGGGCGTGCTGGGTGTTTATATATATATATAAAACAAACACCCACCATATCAGCATAAATCTCTGCTAGAAAGCACACTCCAAAATGTTGTCTATCAGGACTTACGCCTCTTTTTGCTTCAAGCAGATACATAACATGCAAAAGTTACAGTTCATGACAGTTAGACAAGTTTCCGTTGTCTGCAACATTTTGTTTCAACCGTCTCGCCCCCACACGTTTCCTGTTGACTTATTCATGGCATGCTTATCTTTAACACTTTCTGCATCACTAGTTGCTAAGCAAAGACAAAGCAAAATGTGTTCCACCTTTACCCTACAAAATAAATCTATGTGATGTTTGTGTATGTAAGCCTGTTAGGCATTCATTCACTACACTCCACTCCATCCCTGCAACATATCAGTTCAGACAGTCACGCTGAACGAAACTTCTTAAAGCTGAGTGCTTAACAACTCTTTATGAGCACACTTTGCAATATGTATAAGAAAATAATTATAACTGCTTAGTCTAATAAGAAGAGATCAAGGAGAAAACAAATATTTTCAATTAATATGCATGAGTTTTGCCGTGGCTAAATGATCAAACACCCAAAAAGTCATAAAATGATCATAAAGCCCCTTATTTCAAATTGAACCCAACCCCCCCCCCTTTTTTTGACACATTTTATGTGTCAAATTAGCTAAAGACCAGCTACTGAAACTGAAAATGCTTCACCACCTCTTAGGAAATTAAAAGGAAAGGTTAGGCAAATTATTTCTCAAAACACCTCAGCGATCCTCCTCTCGGGTATATCTGCTCCGGGCCTGCAAACCTGTGTTTAAGGAATAAAATCAATTTAATCATCACGTCCAATCTTTACGAACTCCTGGCTCCATCCAGAGCCTGCATCCTTGGAGCTTCATAGAAACAAAACCTGTGTGTTAACCTGAACTTCACATTTCATACTCAGTTTCCCCCCCTGATGTATGGAACGCCAGGACTGCCATAATGAATTAATTAAATACACCATTAAATAATTAATTAAATGTGGCAATAATTAATTAAAATCGGAAATAATTAATTACATAAATATTTATGACATATTTTATTAATTAATGACACATTTAATTAATTATTTCTTTATTTCACAT